ATCAGATATTTTTTAGAGAGAGAGTGAGGAGTTATGAAAATTACCATGGCCTGATAAAAGGAATAATCGGGGGAAAATTTTTTTATGAGTCTAATTATGATGCATTTGCGTCTAAAATATATTTATATTTTAAAAAATTACCTATAAGCTGTTTTTGTTTAAAATATAAATTGTTAATTAATTAAGTTTAAGAAAATAAACTATTATAAAAATTCTACAAGAAAAATGTGTGTAAATTCATATTAAAAAGTAAGTAAAAGCGCCAAATTTCGACCTTTCAATTTATGTATATTTAATAAATTTGGAAATGTTTTTTGAAATAAATTCTATTAAATATAAATTCTTTTCAAAATTCTCGCAAAATCATTTAAAAAGCTTTAAAAGAGTAGCGTTAAATAGAAAGCTAAACTAAAAATACAAATTTTTTGCTGAAGCGCGCAAAATTAGATTATTTGGCCAATGTGCCAGGAAATTAAAGGAAATATGTATATAAGAAGGAAAAAAGAAAGAAATATACAAACTTTTTAAACATTTTTTAAAAGATAAAATTATTTTAAAATAATTTTATTTTAATATTAAAACATAAAAATTAGATTTATTTCAAACAATAAAAATATTCTCCCAAAGCCAAGGATTAGTAAATAATTACAAAAATATATGGCTATGAAAACACAAATATTTAGTTAATTTTGATAATTATCATAGTATTTTCTACAGCTAAAGTAAATTTAAATTTAAAAATTCATTCCACATGTTTAAGGAAGCCCTCAAAAAATCCAACCTTCCCCTATTTAAATCTTAAATAAAAATAATCATAAAATCTATACAAACATATAACAATGCTTTATAGATTATGCCATTCTCTTTTGGCCTATTTAAAAATAAAAAATCGCTGGAATTTTATCTTCAAAGAATGAACCGCAAAATAAGTAAAAGGTGACAAAATCAGAAATAACAAACATCCCTGGGGAAGTAAAAAAATTTTTTTCTTTTCTAAATTTTTATATAATTTTTTGTCAAAAATGGATAGATGGCAATAATAGAATATGAAAAATGTCTTTTAAAAAACTTAAAATTGGCCAAAAAAATACCGGGAATAGTCTTATCGCTCCACAAATTTTCTCACTTTTTGATTCAGAACCTATAGAAATTGGTTTGTGATGATGCAATTGCTTATTGTTACCGCTTTGATCAGCTCCTTGATCAAACTAGAAGACAATTACCAATAAATTGATGTATGTATAGATTCGGACCACAAACGATTTTACACAATCCAAAGGAACGCCTAAACCCCAAGAATAAATGAAGCAAAGAAATGCGAGAAACAAAACTGGCGGCTAAATTTTTATTAAACCCTTTAGTAAAATAATTCTTAGTTTTGATTAAACAAGATTTAACATAATTCAAAAAAAATCTTTTTATTAAAAATATATTTTATTTTTCAATTATTATTTCAATACTAACCTCTTCATAATATTGCATTATTATTATATTTTTCTGAAGACAAAATCAATTTAATAACAATAAAAGGCTTTTTCTTGGCAATAAGTGGAAAAACTTTTATTTTTGAAGGAAAGGAATTTAAATAAAATGTTTAAATAAAAATTTTAGAAAAAAATAAATTTAAAAATTGTTGTGAGAGATTTGCATAATTTTTTTTAAATTAAATTATTAAAGTTAGGTAGAAATAATTTAAATATTAAATTAAAGAAAATTATAAAACAAATGTATGCAGCATATCCAAATATGTAGATATTATAAATTAATATATATATAGGTAATTTATCAAAATTTTTGAACATTTTTACAGAAAATAAAAACAAAAAAAAGTTTATGTAAACGGAACTTCTCAATAAAAAATATATTTGTTTTGTCGTAAGTATTTTAATAAATTTTAAAAATTTAAGAATAACTAATCTTTTTAACCATTTATCATATTTAAAAGACTCTTTTCCAATATTAGCTTAACTTTTTTTTTAAATTTTACTGAAAGAAGTTAGGAAAAAGAAAAAATATATTTTCACAAAATTAACAAAATATGTAGATAAAATATTTTTATTTTTAATTAGGAGGAAGAGTGTAGATACATAAATAAATAGATATTTTTATTAAATTTTAATGTGTATTTATAGTAATAAAAAACTTATTTAACTAAAATATATTTAAATATTACTCGAAAAATATTAAATAATTAATGCTTTAACATTGTGTGGCATTGTCTTAATATAACTGCCAAAGGGCATTAAAAAGTAAAGAAAAATCCAGCTGCTCTTAATACTTTTAATTTTGCCTTAACGGTAAAATTAAGCGCGCAAATTATTTTTATGAAAAATAAAAGAATATTATTATTAAATGGATAGTAGGTATATCCCTCCTTTCTCCAAAAACAAAAAAATAAAAAAAAATAATTTTAATTATTAATATATATTTTTTTGCTCTTGAATAGTGCAGTTTTTAATTAGTATTTTTATTTAGATGCGCACATCAATAGAAAATAAAAATAAAATATTGGCAAAATTAAAAATAAAAGAAGACAGCGTTCAATAAAAAACTAAACCCGTCAAAAACACAAATAAATAAATAAAATTATTCTAAAACATACTTAACAATCTTGTAGATGTACTTCCTTCAGCATTACTACTTGCAGTCCATGTTGCCTTTTTAAAAATATTTTTATTTAAATTTATTTTTTAAAATTTTATTGACTGTATGTATAAATTTATTAATTTTTATTTATGTTACTTAACTAAATTTCAACCAAAATTTTTATAATATTTAAATATTAACCCTAGTCATTATCCGCTTTCTTCTTCTTCGCTGTGCTGCTGCAACAGAAAGACTTCCAGCACTTCGACGGCGTTCTTTCTTATTTTGTTCTCGTCTAGCAGCACTTGCTCTAAATGGCACAAAGGGCAAAAACATTTTTTTTAAATTTTTCTGAAATATAGAAAATGTGCTCTAATGCAAAAAAGTTATTTTAGATGCGCACATAAATAAAGTTAATTAATTTATTTAAATAATCTTTTACTAATTTTGTTCAGATAATAATGAAATTACACTTTTATAAATAATAATTCTTATTCAAAACCAGATAATTGTGGTAGTTCCCGAATGAAGAGGAGAAATACTAAATCCAGTCCCCACCTACACTATTCTTCCTTATGTCAAGAAATTTAATAAAACTTAAAAGAATGTTCAAATAATATGGATTAAATTAAAAAATATACCTACATATTTGAAAAAAAAATTCTAAAGTAATTTTCTGTCCTTAAAAAGGAAGAGGATGGCACTTAAAAATAGGTGACACGTAAGAGAGTGTTTATGGGAAAATATTTTAAATAAAAAGAAGCAATTTATACAAACAAAAATAACTAAAAAACAAACAAAAAAAGAAACAATTTTTAATATTTATTTTACTTTAAAAGTGTCATATTATAGGGTAAATTTAAGAAGGTTAGATTTCTCTTTCGTTTCAATTTGTGGCAATTACCAAGCTTAAAGGAAGGTAAAAAGTCGAAGTAAAAATTTGTAGTTAGTAATTTAGATTGGGTTGAAGCAGAGGTGGGTCGGAATTCCGATTTCCGACGTTTTTTTCCTTCCGAGTTCCGATTTCCGAAATTTTGGAAAAATTTTGCTTTCCGAGTTCCGACTTTTGAGCCAGTTCAGATTTCCGGCGCTTACGATTTCCGACACTTCTAACGACCCACCTCTGGATTGAAGTAAGGAATTTTGGAATTTTTGAGCCTTGCCTGAATCAAAATTTTGATCAGAACTGAATTCGAAACAAAAATAAAAACCAAAAATTAAACCTTTAACATCCTAATTATTTCCTGATAAAAATTACTTAAATTTAAATAAAACAATTAATCCTAGAAAAGGTGGAAATGAATAGTTTTATTTTTTATATTTTTATAAAAGTATATTTATTGGTACGTGGAGTGTAATGTCCTTTTTCTATCAAAATAAAGTAAAGAAAAGAAGATTCTTTAAGGGGAACCCCGAGGGAATGTTTAGACATTCAAAAAGATATATCTGAATTTAGATAAAATTGAGGTAGAAACTGAAAAAGTTGGAAGAAAAATAGGAGGAAAAAATAATGGAGAGAGAGAGTTTCTTTTAAAAAATTAAAATTAAATTTTTCTAAGGAAATTCTGAAAATTAAATTATTTAAAGAAATTTATTTACTCACAAATGCTAATATAATTAGCATTTTAAAGTTGTATTTTTGTTCATAAAATTTTATTTAAAAAAATAGGCACTCTCAACATTTATTTACATATAAAATCGAAAAGTTATTTTAGAATTATTTTTTAAGAAAATAATTCTGTAAAATTAAAACTTTGCAATAACCTCAACTTTGCAATAACCCTAAAAACAAGCAAATAAACTTAAAATGAAGTGCTGTGATGCGTTAAAATTACTTTGAATAAGTCAGTTTATTTTTAAGTATTCTTAAACTTTTTTAGGTATAAAAGATATTTAAATGAAAAATAATAAGGAAACATAATTATATTTTTTTGAAATTTTTTATATTTAAAATTTTTTTTAATTTACAATCATTTTTTGGTTAAAAGATCGTTAACTTTCTGATCTGATACCATTAACGAGGATTAGATCAGAAAGTGGAATCATTCTGAGTATTGTCGAGATTGATCATGAGATTCTCTCTTCCGAAATCGAAATAATTAGAATAAAAACAAGAAAAAGTGCGAGAATTTCATTTTAAAATATGTATAATTTTATTTGTCTTAATTATTTAAAAAAAATAATTAAAATATTTTATATTAAATATAAAAATATATTTAACGTTATTAATTTATTAGAAAATAAATAATTGATGAAATTTATTAACAAAATTTTTTTAAATTTATCCGTTATTATCGAGAATGTAAAAACATTTATTTATAAACAAAAATAAAGAAGGAGAGAAGAATATTTGACAATAAAATATTTTAATTTTATTTAAAATATTATGGCATCTATTTTTACATTCATATTTTCTAAACGCCAGATCGTTTGATAAGAAAATCATTTCCACCCAATGAATCCTGTTTAAATAAAAAAAATATTTCAATTAAAATAATTAAATAAGAAATATCCGTCAATAAATATTTAAAAAATACCAAAATAATTCTTTCTCGTTTCCCAACTTCTGCCATTCTTTTATTTGGATTGTGAGTCCTCCTTTGAGGAATAATAATTCCGTTAAATTCATCATTTGATAAAATTGAAATATCCGCTGGTACAGGTTTGAACACCCATTTCTTTAAATAAAAAAATATAAATAAAATTTAATATTAATGTAAGCTTTAATTATAAATTTTTTTGAAAATTTAAAATAATAAAAAAGGCAGAGGTAATCCAATTCTCAAATCCTTGAATTAAAGTATTTATTCTTTAACATTACCAATTGTTTGTCTGGAATTGTTAAAGAATTAACTTGATTATTTTGAATAATTGTAGCCAGAATTAATAGTGAGAATGAGGCTAATATAATATTTTTAAAAATTTTTGATTTATTATATTGAATTATTGATAAATACATTTTAAATAAATATTTTTTAAATTAATGTTTTCACTATTAGACCCTAAAAATTATATTTAAATATTTTCTATTGTTGGTGATATTTTTATTCAAATGGAGAATTATATTTATACGTATAACTAGGATAGTCAGGTAGTGGAAAATCTCCGATTATTCGAAAAACTCCGAAAATAAGAATCTTCGATTAAAATTTATACAACAAACTTAATTAAATTTAATTTAATTTAAAAACGGTTTGTTTTATTATATAACTTTTAGTTATATATTTTTTCTATCATCTGCTGTGAGCAGCTTTATATATTTTAGAAACTCCCTCTGGGTCCAAAAACTTTAACTAACAGTTTTAAACTCTTGTTTACTAAAAAATACTAAAATATATTTTAATTCAATCGTCATTGGATTTTTATAGCTAATTAAATTGAATATTCATTTATTTTTTTTGGATTTTGTACTGGAAAATTTTAAGCTGACGACAAACTCTAAATAACACATTTGATAATAAAAATTTTAATTTAAACTAACTATAACTAAAATTAACATTACTCTAGATGTTAAAGGTAAAATAAATTATTTAATGAGAGAATTCTTTAACAACGACTGGTTATTATTTTAAAGAGAATAAGGTATATTTAATTTATCAGGAATATATTCTAAAAAATAATTTTATAAGCTAAACATTCAGCGAAATTATTTAAATAACACTAAATTTTATTTGACATGCTTATTTAGGTAAAAGTGAGGGAGGTATTTGTATAAAATTATTTCATGATTCCTTAATAAACTATTCTCATTCAAAATTGAGTAAATGATAGATTAATGAGATAAAAACAATAATTTATTAATATGTATGTATTAAATAGTTCTTTTTATTTTGACTTAAATAAAATAAATTTTACTCAACGATGAACTAGATCAAAATTTGTCATTAATTTTTAATTTAAATATTCTTTAATTTTTATTTCTGAGAACTTTTAAAACAAAAATGCTTAAAAAATAATGAAATAGTTGAAGGATTAATTTAATAATATTTTTATTCAATATTTAAATGTGATGGATGAATGGTGAAATTATATACATCCACATCTGAAAGAAAATGTTAAAAATTGTGTCGATGCTGGAGTGTAATTTGCAATAAATACATCATTTTTTGACAATATAGAAATTAATAAATTAATTTTTATCTTTATTATATTTTGTTTATTAAGTTATAAAATATGGATCTTAAAATAATCGGATAAAATATTTTAGTCAGAATTAAAATTTTATTTCTATGTAGGTTCGTAAATAAGTATGTATTGAAAATTTGTCAGAAACCGAAAATAATAATTAGCTTACAGATAAATTTTTTAAGTAAGAAAAAATTACATAAAGGAAACTAGGTAAACTATTTTTTATAATTCTTCGAAGATAAAAATGAATAAAAATATATCTACTTTCTATTGATTTAATATTTATACATAAACACAAGAAATGTTACAACTCATAAATTTTGTTTATTAAGTTATAAGATCTGGATCTTAAAATAATCGGATAAAATATTTTAGTCAGAATTAAAATTTTATTTCTATGTAGGTTCGTAAATATGTATGTATTGGTATTCTTTTTTAAAAATTTTTTAAAAAATTATTCTTAATTAATGATTTCTTGAAAAAATATTTTTTTATTATAATTATTTTAAAATAATTCTCAATTCAATATATTTGTAATGCCTCCAACAGTTGAAACCCGTGTTTGAAGCTTTTTTGAATAAATCTTTTTGATAATTGATAGAGTATCTGTTCGAACTGTTTTATTTAATGTTAAATAAATAATTGGAGGAAAACCTTTAAAATAATTATTTTATTAATACATTAATTTTTAAATATTTTCAAGTATTATCCGTCCACACAAATAGAGATGATGAGGCCATTATCTCCCCGTTCTAACAGAATTACACCTCCCACCCCCTATGTAAAATTACACATTTTCCTTTATTCATTTAAAAAATATTTATTTAAACAGAAATAATTTTCTTAGTATTCAAAAATAAAAGTAATTGAGCTGATAAAAAGTGAATAAGCTAAAGGTGTTAAAATTCATCGTATTTTACTGTTTATATAATTGCCGTTATTACTCGCTTTCCCCGAAATTAACTCTCTTTTTACGATTCGCTTTCACGGTATGCCTCCGTCGCTGCGGGTAACAACCCTAACACTAGGTTATACATATAATCATTGATATCTGTATTTTTAAAACAAAACATGCAACTTACCATGGATATGCAACCTGAAAAATAAGAAAGTTGACCCTGGTTATACATAGTGACAATTGGTTACCTACGTGTTCAAACAAAATGGTAATCAAAAACGGCAAAAGGTTAACAAAGTTATTATACACACCTCCCTAAGCCATTTTGTTGAGTACCATTTTTAAAGGCGTCTTCGGTTATATATCCACCTTAGATATAATGCCATAATTGGTCAATATTTATGGCATAAGTCGATCATTGACTATTCCCCTCCCCCTCAATTCTCAAAAATCTAAAATATCCCATGGTGTTTAATAACCGGAGTCAACTGAATAGAATAATTACCACGAAAAATGTGCCAACATTTGAAGAAAATATCCACTATCTGGATTTTTTAAATTATAGGAATAAACAATTCCTGTACTTGTATTAAACATTGAAATGATAAATACTTGAAGAAAAACCTTAAAAAATAAATTAAAAGGTTGTTTTAAGGTGAATCCTATTTAATGGCCCAACTTAGTAACTGAATAGTTGCGCACAATACTAGTCGTTTTCAAGATTAACCCAACTAGTAGAAGCGTGCGAGACTTGGTCTTTAGTCTTGACTCAGGACTTTTCTTGAGTTTTTCGGACTTGGTCATGGAAAATTTTCGGTTTAGCGCGCCTCTACCAATTATTATAGTATTTTCCCTAAGAAGCGTGTGGCTTTTCGATAAAGGATTTTAGCTTGACTCAGAAATAATTACATACGAACCATTTTCTCCTCTTTTGTAACACGATTAGAAAGTTCCCTGGCTTTGAAGAAAAAGCAAATTATAAAAACTGCATAAATTATTGGTGAACTTATAGCTAATATTATATTATGTAAAGTTATGTCGAATAAATTTTGTTGAAACTAAATTGATAATTTTATATTAAAAATAATTATTTTTACGAACAATTTCCATTCTAAAAGGTATATATCCAGTTAATGGATCTAATAAAACTTCGAATGTTATTCCATTAAAAATATATGCATGACGAAATAAAAGCCAATAAAGTCCATATAAATTACAAATAACTATCCAAATATAAACACGATTGTTATGGAAAAGTTTATCTGCAATATTTGGAAATGCCATTTCAATACAACGATTAATTCCCAAAATCTAGAAAACTACGAATTTAGATATTTTATTTTTAAGAGACCAAATCAGCAATACATTCAGCAGCCCAAAAAACTATAAAAAATAATTTTATTGTTAATTTTAACCTCTAGAGTATTCCAATTTGGGTTCGGGTCGAGCTGTCATTCAGAATTTTCTAAGCCCAATTTTATCAGGTCAGGGACCGGGTTGGCAACCCTAATTCCAATTAATGAATAACTTACATAAAATAAGACAGCCAACAAAATATGTAGATATTGGTGCGGAGCAGTAAACAACTCCATACAAGCTAAAAATACCGAATGCAAATGTTGGTGCCCAAAGAATTCCGATATCCAATATAGAGAGATAGATTAAAAATATATAACAAGGATTTTTGGCTCTATTCTTCCAAAAAGAGTAAAGACAAGGAAAATATAAAGGCTTAAATTAAGAAAAAATATTAATTAAAAAAATAATATGTACATAATATATGCAGCCTAATATTATACAAATAATTGCAGCCAACGGATATCTTCTTTGCTCAATTGGAACATCATCAACATTAATTCCTGTACAATTATAAACTCTATCAAATTCATCTCGATTCCACAAAATATATTCCATTTTATTTATTAGAATAATTCTTCTGAGTCGTCAACTTAAAAAGTATCGTATTTTCTAAAATAAAGCCCCATGGGGCTCTATTTTTCAACTATACACCAAAGTAGGGCTCTATTTAATAGCGGGCTTAAGGATTTTATTTAGTAAATACGGTATTTACAACCACTCTAAACATTAATTTAACTCTATGTCAGCCCTATTATTTTACTTATAAAATAATTTTTTTCATTTAATAATAAGTATGTACTTATTTCTAAAAAAATTCTGTTAATAATAATAATGTTTTTAAAAACATAATAAAAATTTTAATATTTAATAAAGCCATTATTTCCTTTTAATTAATAGTTTGGGGAAAACTAGGGAAAAAATACCATATTTATTCCCTTTAACAAACAAAAAATTTTTATTTGTGCTAATTAAAAATATAATTAAAAAAACTTTAATAAAAAATAAAAGGGTAAAGGAATCATGACTTAAAAAATTAATTTGAAATAAAAAAAATAGGTAAATAATTCAAGATATGTGGTAATGGAGAATATTATACCTATTTAAATGCATTAAAAAAGAAAATTCTACTTAAATTTTCTATGACCAAAACAAAGGGGGCGGGAAATTTGCCGCACCCTGTATATGTAAAATTAAATTAAAAATATTTTAAGTTAAGTCTAAAGCTAAATAGGTGTAAAATAGGGTTTAACGGAACCGAAATTTTGACCGGAACCGGAACTTCCGGTGAAACACTAGTGTAAAATAGATAGTTTTCAGGTACTATACTGCATTCCTAATTTTCTCAATATTTCATTTCCCTTCCATTTTTAACTGGGATCTGATTGTTTAAATCGAGTTTCTTATTTACAGCCGGTAATTTATGTAACTTTCTTTAAAATATTTTTTAAATGATTTATATTGAAAATATAATAATTTAGCTTATCTCATACCCTAGGTGGAAAAAATATTTTTCAAAATTTTATACATCAAAAACTAACGTGGAAATAAAAACAAAAGACAATTGTTTAATTATTCTACAGTTCCTTTTAAGCGATAAAGTAGTCGGCGACAGCGTGTCCTTGACCCCATAATCTCCAACTTTGAAAAATTCTTTTTTCGGTTGTCAATTTAATTTTTTATTTTTTAATTAAAAAATTCTATTTATTATTTTCAATTAGGTATTTTTAAAAGCGTTATAATATTTCCAAGCTAATGAGCAATCAAGTGCAGCAAAATCGTTTCGCCGAGCCAAAATTTTTGCAAAGTCAACCACCCGAAAATAAGTAATCATTTACAGTTTTTTGAAAATTAAAAATTTTTAAATAATTTAAGAATTCCAATTGAAGGACGTCGAAATGTTTTAGTTTGTGCTGCTCTTCCTTATGTTAATAATGTCCCTCATTTGGGTAATATTATTGGGGCTGTGTTGAGTGCTGATGTTTTTGTGAGATATTGCAATATGAGAGAGTATCAATGTCTTTATATTTGTGGAACGGATGAATATGGTACGGCGACAGAAATTCGAGCATTGACAGGTTTTTTTTCAAAAAAAAAGGAAATTAATTTTTTATTTAACCATTTGAAGTATTTTTAATTTTATTATTTTAATGCATCGGTTAATTCGAAATTAGAGATCGGTATTTTCAAAAATCCTGGGTCTGGATTTAAGTTAGTAACCTGGACAGGATTCTTGATTTGGATCCTTTCTCGATTTTTGAATTATTTTTAAAAAATATATAAGGGTGATAAATGCATATCAATAAAATTATTTTCATCGATTCTGACATAATCAGTCCATAATAATATTCAGTTTTTACTTTTTCATGAAACAATTTAGCTGCGAAATACATCTATGTCACTTTCTGGTCAAATTTTATCCAGGAAATCCAGACATAAAAATCGTTTTGATCTGGACTCTAGATTTGGGTTATTGACCTGGATTGGATCCAGGCAAAATCCAGGACGATCAAAGAATGTCTGGACTGGACTCTGGATCCAGGAAAAATTCAGACTGAATTCATATCCAGACCGATCTCCAAAAATAAAATTCCAAAAAAATTATTTTTTTATTAATTACAAATTATTTAAGAGGGTGTTTCTCCAAAAGAAATTTGTGATAAATTCCATAAACTTCACAAAGAAGCTTATGACTGGTTTGGGATTGATTTTGACTGTTTTGGCCGAACTTCTTCAGAACACCAGACAGAGTTGGATTTTTTCTTAAATTTTTTAAAAATTTTTTTTCAGAATTGTTCAAGATATATTTCTTAAAATTCATAATAATTCTTTTACTTCTGTTGGGATTCAAAAACAGCTTCGGTGTTCTAATTGTCAAAAGTTTGCAAGTTTTTTATTTTAATAAAATTTAATTATTTTATTTTTCCTTAAAGTCTATCGTGAATTTTTCATCAGTTTTTATCTAAGTTTTTTGGTAATGGTTTGGAATTCGCCCCCCTTTTTTTATTTTTATTTTTTCCTATTTTTTCTCATTTTATGTCAAATTAAATAAAGACTCCTTCGAGCTGATTGCAAGTTGAATAACATTAAAATCAACGAAATATCAAACAAAAAAGCTCAAAATGGTAAGGGAAACGAGATAAAGTAGGATGAATTTCAAACTATTGCCAATTTTTCACTTAGTGTTAATATTTAACATTTTTATTATTTCTAGGTCTGAGTTTCTTTAGATTTTTTGTTTATTTTTTTAGTCGTTTTAGTTTTTTTTGGAAATCTTTTCTAAATTCCAAATATATTTATTAAATTTTTTATTTAATTGTAAACTTATCTCTGCTTTTAGATTTCTTGCTGATCGATTTGTTCGGGGAACTTGCCCTCATTGCAAGTTCCTTGATGCTCGTGGTGATCAATGTGATAAGTGTGGTCATCTTTTGGATGGCGTTGAACTTGTTGAACCAAGATGTCTTATTTGCGGGAGCGAGCCGCGCATAGAAGAATCTGAGCACATTTTTCTGAATTTGGATCAGCTTTCGGTTTTTTTACATTTTATTTTAAAAATCAAAATTATTTGAAGTATTTGCTTAGTGTTAATATTTTTAACTAATATACTAGCAATTGAACCTTTTAACTGTCAGCCCCAGAACTTTTTAGTTTTATATTTCTAATCAAAAAAGTCGAAAGTTTTCTAGAGTAAATCGATGATTCTCTTTCGATTAGTACAAAAACTTACAAAGCAACTGTAAGTTCTTTTGTATTGGAAAAATACTATAATTTGTCAAGTTTGACATTTCATCTTTTTTTTCAGCCGAAAGTCCAGTCCTATCTGGATACCGTTATTGACTCTCCCAACTCACATTGGTCAACAAATGCAATCTCTATCACCCGTTCTTGGATGAAGACTGGCCTTGAACGTCGTTGTATAACTCGTGACTTGAAATGGGGTATTCCTGTTCCTCTCCCTCAATTTTCTTCAAAAGTTTTCTATGTTTGGTTTGATGCTACAATTGGCTATTTATCCATAACAAAATCTTTACTTGGCTCTAAATGGATTAATTGGTGGAAAAATCCGGAGCAAGTTGAACTTTACAATTTTCTGGGAAAAGATAATGTCTCCTTTCACACAATTATTTTTCCTGCTTCTCTTTTAGCAACTGGAGAAAAATATACTCATCCAAGGCAATTTTATTTTTTTATTAATTTTTATAAAATTTTAATTTAAAGGCATATGTGTGCAACAGAATATTTAAATTATGAGGATCAAAAATTTAGTAAATCTAGAGGTGTTGGCGTCTTTGGGGACACTGTTTCCCAAATTGGAATTCCTGCAGATGTTTTACGTTTTTATTTAATTTATATGCGGCCAGAAGGGCAGGATACATCTTTTTGTTGGGAGGATTTGGTTTTAAAGGTTTTCCTCTTTTTCAACCATATTTAATTAACTTTTATTTTTATCATCGATTAGAGTTAATTCATTTCTTTTAGGTCAACTCCGAATTATTAGCCAACCTGGGAAATTTTGTTCATCGTGCACTTAGTTTCCTATCTTCTTTTTTCTCTGGAATACAACCCAACATTGAACTAACCTCAGTCGAAGATGAGCTTTTTACTTTGATTGATCAGGATTTAAAAGAATTTATTTCTGCAATGGAAGATGTTCGTATGCGTGATGCTCTCCATCAAATTTTATCAGTATCTAGGAGAGGAAACCAATATATGCAAGTTGGACAGCCTTGGTTGTTAGTCAAAAGCGATAAAAAGGAGGACAAGTAATTGGAATTTCAATATTATTAACTAACATTGACATTAAATTTTTGAAAACATATTTTAAAGATTTGCTCTTATAAGGAAAAATATAATGAATTTATATTTTTAGACAACGTGCACAAACAATAATTGGTGTCTCCGCAAATTTGTCACTTTTTCTTTCAATAATGCTTCAACCATTTATGCCAAAAACAAGTGCCAGCATTCGTGAACAATGCAATATTCCTTTACCCATGGTTTTACCAGAGCATTTTACTCTGCTTCTCAAAACAGGACATCAACATAATAAAGTATTTAATTTTTTTATATTTTAAAACCCCATCTTATTTTTTGATCACCTGACATGAGACAAAAACTAATTCGAGAATTTACGTTTCTATTAAATTACAATTATTGATCTCTTTTTCCTCTTTCATGTAAGACCTAATGTTTTTTTGCTTCTCTCTACTTTTTTGACTATATTTGTGCACACTTTTTCCATTAATATTTAACAAACTGACTGGTTATTTATTTTGGGTTTAATTACTGATTAAATTAAAATTAGTTATATTAAATTTTAAGCACTTTTTTCTCGATCTTTTTTAGTAATTACCGGATTTTTTTATTATTTTTGCTGAATAATTTTTTCGACTTATTGTTAGAATTTTGAACCTGATTTAGGGCAAAAAATTTTTCGGTCGGAATTTTCCCTAATATAGTACTACAAAAAAATTTTTGCCCTAAAAGACTTGTTTTTAAATTTATAATTTTATTTCTTTTATTTTAGCCTTCACCTTTATTTGCAAAAATCGAATCAAATAAAGTTGGAGAGTGGAAAGCATTGTTTGGCGGTGATCAAAATTCTACAACTGTCAACGGAACTCTTGTCAACAATAAAACATCACCCAAAAAGACTAAACAACAAAATCAACAGAAAAAATGTATTAAAAATTGTTTTATTTTAAATATAAAAAATAAATATTTTTTAATTATTTATTTATTCAAAAATGGTTGAAAAACGTTACTTTTTTATTTATTTTAATCTTTTTTGGGGGGATTAATTAATTTAATTTTAATATTATTACAAATGTTTCACCGCTACTTTAATTATTCTTCTCGTAAAATATTCTCAAAAACTGTCAATGGAATTTTATTTGACTGTAAACGTTTTAATAATTTTTGAATAATTTTTTAAATTTAATTTAAAAATTTTTTTAGCAAAAATGGCCTCATCAGATGCTGTTGATTTGGCTTCTATTGACATTAATAAATTATATAATGAAGTTTTGGCTAAATTTCAAAAAGCAAGTTGGTCAAAAATTTATTTAATTTTTGTTAATTATTTTATTTTTTAGAAGAAATTTTTGTGGCAAAGGAGATGACTCGATTAGATGCTGAGAACAAAGCTTTACGTGAACAAATTGAAGAATTTAAAATTAAGCTGGGATATGTTGGACCTTTATTTTCGCCTCCAAAAAGTTTTGAGATTTACAGTTAAATATCTTTAAATTTGTTTTTAGCTAGTGCACCAATTAAAGCGATACCTAAAGATGACTCAAAATCTGAAGTTTTAAAACAACCTAGTCAGATAAAGACATCGACTGTTGATAATGGAGAGAATAATGTTCAGAAACCAAAACAAGCGAAAAAGTCGGAGAATAAAAAAGCTGCGGCTTCAAACGTTGATACTGGTGGAGGAGGTGAGATTGATGTTGGTCGATTAGATCTTCGAGTCGGCAGAATCCTAAAAGCAACGAAACATCCAGATGCTGATGCTCTTTATGTGGAGGAAATTGACCTTGGTGAGGAGAAGCCTAGGACGGTTGTTTCTGGCCTTGTTCGTTTTGTACCTTTGGAAGAGGTTTGATTGAATTTTTATTGGGATTTCTAAGTTTGACTTTTCAGATGCAAAATCGATTAGTTGTTTGTCTATGTAATTTAAAGCCAGCAAAAATGCGCGGTGTTGAATCTCAGGCAATGGTTATGTGTGCATCTACACCAGAAAAAGTTGAAATTTTGGAGATTGACTCTAGTTGTGAGCCAGGAGATGTTGTTATGTGTGAACCTTTTGCTCATCGTCCTGATTTGCCTTTCATGAATCCGAAGAAGAAAATATGGGAAGGAGTGGCGCCGGTGGGTTTTATTGAAGATATAGCATTAAATATACACTTGAATCTCGACTGTACTTTGTGGGCCAACGTAATAAGAAGAGACGTTCTATCAGAGGGTTATCCTTCGGAACCAAGGGCATAGCCAGGGTGTCGATTTCAGGAAGGGGGCTAAAATGGGGTGTGCGCCAAAATTAATTTTCCTCGTACTCGTACCAAGCGCTATTGAGATTCAACTGTATTAATTTATTAAGGATTTATCCGTCTCTGAGAATGGTGAATGTATTTATAAAGGACATCAATTACGTGTGTTTCGAAATGGTTCATCACTCAAAGCGAGAACATTGTCTAATGTTCCAGTTAAATGATATTGTTTAGTTTTTCCATTAAGGATACTTTTTGTCTTGCAATCTTTTATACTCAAAAGCTGTTTTCTACTATTTTTACGAATATTATACTGAGAATTTTTCTAAAATCCTAGACATTCGGTTGATAGCTTTGTTATTATCTGTTTATCTTTCCATATCTTTAATGCTTTCTCCCTGCTCACAAGATTTTGACAAGGTTGCCATAGTGCTAGTGAATTTTTACAAGTTTAAGAATTAAGGCAAAAGAAGTTTTTAATGAGATTGTCAAAATATGGTGGGAAAGGAAAATGTGGTGAAATAATCAGCTAACCCGTAAACTATTGTTTTTTATTGACAGGATCATATAGAAAATTTTCTCTTGATTTAATATTTGTTTTTGTTCTTTTGTTTGACTGTTAAATTGTTGTTTTAAATAAAATGTATGATACTACTAATTTTTAAGTTTATTTTTATTCATGTTTCTTCAAAATATGTTGAGGAGAGTTTTTTACCCTTCAGCTAGTATACTTTGCACATTTACTCTAAAAGAAGAAATTCTTTTTCTTCTTTTTGGGGGTAAACACTGCAGTCATTCTTTTACGTTTTATAGTGAATGTGAGAGTGCTTTAACTCTCTCATGCTAGTGGTGGGTGACACGCCAGCCAGCACTACCTTCATCTCACTATTCCCAACCATGTACCTCTTACATTACATTTTTATATTGATTTTGGTGTTTTTACACTCGTTATTTCATTTTATATATTACTCAACATTACATACATTATAGACAATTTGTTAATTTTCTCTTAAATTCTTTATTGTTTTTATTCTAAAGTAGGGAAAATAAAGGTGAACAATGGAATTTCTAAAGCATGAAATAGGCGAATTCACCCCAGATGCAAAAACTGAATCAAGTATTCGACGTTCAGCAGAACTTTATATAACTACAAATCCTGTATTCAAAGCAGAGCGTGAGGATATCACACGACAACGACTAGTGTTTGCCGCAATTGTAGGTGATCACTACGATGTCCTTTTCAATGGAACGAGTAATGAACGTGGTCCTTTGTGGGAGGAGATTCGCTTATTTATGATTGAGAATGGGGCAGCAACATTAGTTGATAAAGACTGGAAATATACGGGCAGTTGTTATTGGCAGAATATTCGAAAGGTGAATTGAATTTTTGACTAAGTTTGAAAATAAAATCAACGCAAAATTATTTAAAATTTCAGGAGTCAATTCGACGCATGGCAAAAATGAAAATAGGTACGGTAAAACAGGCAAGACCTGGACAACTTGAATTGGATCGCCTTGTCAGCACTATTATCGAAAAACGTGGGCCAGGCTCGGTATGTTTCAGTGCATTCCTTCATTTCCTCTTGTAAAAAAGTCAAATTTTTCTTTAAATGTTAGCTAGAAACAGTTATAAATCACTACGGTCTTGCTTATATTGAACGTGAATCCGGAAGTGGAAACAAAGTTGTTGATAGAGAAATTGATGATTTGCCTCAAGAAAAGCCTTCAACTTCATTAGTTTCTTCAAATCACACCGTCAGACACTTAAAACAACTTAGAAATTCAGCTAGTCCAGGTGTACAAATAAAAATAAATTTTAAATTTAAATTAATTTTTAAAGACGTTTTTGAAGAACAAAATAACCAACGATTTGTTAATAGTCAACAACCGTTAGATCAAGTTATGAAGAATACTTCAATGAAAACCTCTGTCCAAAATAATCAGCAACGTCAGACGTCATCACCATCTACTTCACATATCGCTCAACCAGTAAAGGTGATGAATGGATGTTTACTAATTGAATATAGTATAAACAAAATTAGTTTATCTATATGAAATAGACACCTATATCAAATATATGTAGAAACCATTAAAAGTAGGGTGGGAGCTCGATCCGGCCCGTTCTGAAAGTCGAGTCGGGCATTGAATTTTGGCCCGAAAACGTCTCGGCCAGGCTGCCCGAAAAAATGATTGGAACGTCGGCCCGGCTCGAAAACCCCAACCCCGATTAAAAAACAATACTCAAAACCATCATAGTATATTAGATTCTCTATGGATTACCTACAAATTACCATAACATATTTCTCTATTAATAAAATTATATAATATTAAAAAATAAACAAATAAATTCTAATTCCGGTAATAGTGTCGTTTCCCAGCCCCCTTTTTTTCCTCCCAATTTTCTACCCTATGTTTGTACGGAATGGTCAAATTTTCCCCTTTCTTTCATCAAATTTGCCTTTCTATATTTTGCCTAAAAACAATCAAAAAAGATTAATTTGTGATATTTAAATAAGTATTAGAGTAATGAGAAGAATCATTTTCCCAATTAATAAAAATGGAAGAACTAAAGATATGGGTCTATTCCAAAGCTTCCAGAACAATATATCCACGCCACTGTTAATCATTCAAAAGAATACGTTGATAGCGAAGATCCTAATGTCCATACACAGAACATTGAATCATTGTGGTCAACTTATAAACGAAAATTCAGACATCAAGCTGGCAACAACACTGAAACCTATAAAAGTTATCTCCCGTAATTTATGTGGCGAAAACGATTTGGCAATATTGAAAATGTTTTTTATAATTTTTGGCATCATGTCTCACTTTTTTATCCTTGTGAAAGAAATGAATAAAAAATTAATCTTTTTTTGATTGTTTTTAGGCAAAATATGGAAAGGCAAATTTGATGAAAGAAAGGGGAAAATTTGACCATTCCGTACAAACATAGGGTAGAAAATTGGGAGGAAAAAAAGGGGGCTGGGAAACGACACTATTACCTCTAATTCCTTTAAAGCTAATACAAAATTCTTCAATTTCCATCGATTTATCAACTAACGAGAATCAACTTTCAAGTTCATCACCATTTAATTCACAACAATTAGGAATTTCTGTAACAAAAACACATTCACAGTTAATAGCTGGCGGACATTCAGAAATGGCTTTGGAATTTGAAACACAACTTAAACAATTAATTAATGGATATAAAGCTTGGATGTTTGATCAATTATTTCAACAACAACAAGGAGAAACTGAAGATGAATCTTTGATTGGGTATCAACAAAGACAAAATCAAACAGGAAATGGAGGAAGTGCAAATGATGTTAAAAGGCCAAGATTGTGATTTTAATAGATTTTTGTTTATAAATTATATTTTAGCTTGATTATAATAAATTTATTGTGTTATTACTGGGGCTAGGATTTTTAGGCCTATTTTTTTCTAAATGGGTTTGATGCTTGAACGTTCAAATCAGGTGTTATTTGATGAGATATGCTTTTAAATCTCTTTAAAAATTTACCAAACTTTTTTTTGGAAACAAAATAATTACTATAATTTTGTTTATTCGTAATTGTGATCGTCAATTTAAATTGAATAAAGTCAAGTCAGAAAATAAAGTTTCCCGGTTATTTCTTGTCACCCATTGCACTGTTACAAAATTATCCCCACACTTCAAAACAGTAATATATTTTTTTACACGAGTAACAGTGTATAGCAGGAATATCACAGTTTTTTTCGACCCAAACCCCGACCCAACTTTTTTCAACCCTTAACATCCTCCATATTTAGTCTCAATCTTCATTTATCCAAGCATACTATTCATGTTGCCAATAGGTGAAATTTTTTGACGAATATTTTTAAATAAAATTTTTGTATCATTTCTAATTGTTTTGTTTAATGTTAAATAAACAATTGGTGGAAAGCCTTTAAAATTTTAAGGTTTTTGTTTATTTTTCATAATTTAAATATCTAAAATTACCGTGAACGTGAAGCCTTAAAAATATAAAAATTAACTTTTAAATCAAATAATTTGATAAATTACCACGAAAAATGTGCCAACATTTGAAGAAAATATCCACTATCGGGATTTTTTAAATTATAGGAATAAACAATTCCTGTACTTGTATTAAACATTGAAATGATAAATACTTGAATAAAAACCTTAAAAAATAATAAATTATGTCGAGGGTGTTGAAAATTCAAAAAATTTTAGTTAAATTATTTTGACCAGTCTTAGGGCAGGGAATGGGTTTCTGGATTTTTCTAAAAATATTTAAATAAGAAGAACTACCAACCATTATTTCTTCTTTTGTAATTTTATCAGATAGTGCTCGAAATTTAAAAATTAAGCAAATTGCAAATAAAGTATAAATTATTGGTGATCCTGCGGCCAATATAGTATTATGTATAGTTAATTCAATTAAATCTTCTTTAAACTACAAAAATATTTAAATTTATATAAATTACAATTTAATAATTATAATACAAATTCCATTCTAAAAGGTATATATCCAGTTAAAGGGTCATATAAATCTCCAAATTCCAATCCATTAAAAATATAAGGATGGCGAAATAAAAGCCAATAAAGTCCATAAAAATTACAGAAAGTTATCCAAATATAAACACGATTATTGTGAAAAAGTTTTTTTGCAATTTTTGGAAATGCCATTTCTAGACAACGATTTATTCCCAAAATCTAGAATAATTTTAAGATAAAAATTTGGTCCTAAATTATTTATATTTTAATTGGTTAAAAGAAGATGAAATTAAACTAGGGTTATATTTTCGGTATTACCGAAAATATAACCGAAATCATTATTAATTAAATGCCTAATCAATTATATAATATTTAATTTTTAATTAAAAAACCAAATCTCCACTACATTCAGCAGCCCAAAAAACTGAAATATAAAATTATTAGAGCCGACAAATTTATAGTTATTTTCAAAAAGGCTATAAAAAACTTTTTAATCTTTTAATAACTTTGTGATAACTTTGTGTGTTTTAATAACTTTGTGTCACAATATTTCATTAATATTTGGAAAACTCACATAAAAGATCACAACCAGCAAAATAGGTCAAAAAAGGTAAAGAGCAATAGACAACACCATTTAAACTGAAGATTCCTAAAGCAAATGTTGGTACCCAAAGAGTTCCAATATCCAATATAGAGAGATAAATCAAAAGTATATAACAAGGATTTTTGGCTCTGTTCTTCCAAAAAGAGTAAAGACAAGGAAAATATAAAGGCTTGAATTTGAAAATATTAATTTAAAAATAAAATAGTACATAATATATGCAGCCTAATATTATACAAATAATTGCTGTTATTGGATATCTTCTTTGCTCAATTGGAACATCATCAACATTAATTCCTGTACAATTATAGATTCTGTCAAATTCATCTCGATTCCACAAAATATATTCCATTTTATTTATTACTGAATTTAAAAATCATTGGCACTTTTTCGTTATGGCCTCACACATAAAAAAAACATTATTAGAAAGGTCATAATAATATGGACAATACATGTCATTCGAAAGAGCTCATCGATCTGAGTTGATTGGACTCGAAATGGTTAAAAATCATAGGTTTACTTGGTTTATTTTTGTATCGTAACTTTTTCCATTCAAATCGGACAAAATTTTCACTTGAATGAATTGGAATGTCGTGTTTATGAAAATGAAAATTTATGAAAATGTCGTGTCAGGATTCTGGTCGAAAGAGGTAAATTTATACTTGGCTTTAATTTTTTAATTTCTTGTTAAATGAGATTTGGAAAAATTATAATTTAAATTAGAAGGCAGAAATTTTTCAAAATAATATTTATTGACAAAAAACAATTATACAGGATTTTATAGCTTCAGATGAAAATTTAGATATATTATTATCTAAAATCTTCTAAAATAAGTTCGCAGAAAGCTCTGTCTACTTTTATTTATTTTAAATAAAAGTAAAAAATTCCATACCGTAATATATTAAAAAAGTTTTCTCAAAAAAATAAAGTTTCCTTTTAACTTTAAGTTTTTAATTAGCTTTATTTGTATTTCGGTGGATAATTTATAATGTACTTTTTGAACCAAAAATTTTTTAAAATGGATAAATTTTATAGTAATTGTGAGTAAATAATTTTAATGTCGTAAAAAATATTTGTAAATATTTACATTATTTTAAATTTAAAAAATTTATGTAAATATTAATTAATTTACAAAAAAATAGAAAAAATATTTATGAAAAGTGATTAAAATTAAATAAAAATAATTATTTAATAATTCTCTTTAATTCTTAAAAATTAATTTCCATTTGTTAATATTGGAGAAGTTGATCCATTATTAGGTTTATATTGATGTAAAAGTACAGCAATTTTTGAAAGTGGGGATATTTTTTGTTTTCCATTTTCTTTTTCTTGTTTAGAAATTAATGTTTGAATATATGAAGTTAATAAATCTGTTAAAAATAAATTTTAGAAAAAAATAATATTTTTAGACAACCATCCAATTTATGTCCAAGTATTGTTTCAAACAATAAACGATTCCCGTTATCCAAAGTTAAATGAAAATATCTACAAAACAAATTAATTAAAAATATTTTTTAAAATTTATTTTACGTATTTGCTGATTGCCAATTTAAAAGTTGTTTAAATCCGTGTGTTCGAATATATTTTTTACTTTCCAATTCATATAAACTCATTCCATCTCTAAAAATAATTATTAAATTATTAAAAAAATTTTAATTTTGAAGTTCCTACTGATTTATTGCTATTAATAATTTAGAACATAATGTTGGGTCTGCAGATTGTTTAACCTATAAATTAATTAAAAAGATTATTATTTAAATTATCAGACAGTCGTTCACAAAAAACGAATCTTCCGTTCCACTTCCCAAAATCAGCTATTTATTCCCTGGCACATTCCAAAGAAAAGAGAGGGAGGAATTATTTAATTCACATACACATTAATATCAAAAGATTCATAAAAATTTTACTTCAAAAAATGCCGACCCAAATGTTGGCTCTTTAGCAATTCTTTGGAGAAAACAAAGTTTAGCTTCCGTTGATGTTTTTGGCATTCCTTCTTTTTGTAATTCAGCAGAAATTAACTTGAAATATTTTTTTAATTATTTTACTTAAAAATAAAAACTTTTTTCCATTCATTTGGATTATGAGATTTGAGAAGATCTCTTTAGAAAAAAAGAATATAAATTAAATTTTAATCTTTTTTCAATTTACATGGGTATTAATTCATGTAAAATATGTTGTAAATGCTGTATTGGAGGTTGTTTATCATCCCTAGTTTGTGCTCTTAAAATTAAAGCAGCAAATTGAATAGCTTCATTTTTATCAATTTTATGATATCCTCTCAAATATTTTGGTAATTCCTTTTAAATTTTTAAATTAAAAAAAAATTTTTTTTAAATACTTGTGGATAATTAAAAATAATATCTTGTCTCAAATCTTTTCCAGGTTCAACATCTAACCATAATTTTCTCATAAAATGAACCTAAAAATATTTTTTTATTTAATTATACTCTCTCTTCAAATTTACTTGATAATTAAAATTTATTTGAGAATTAACAACTTTCCTTCCACAATTAATTACTTGTTCTCTTCTAGAATTTTTTCTAGCCCAATCTTGTATTTGATTAATAAAATCAAAAAAATATTCTTTATCAGGCATACAAACAACTTTAAAAAATATGGGAGAGGTTTTTAATTAAAGAGATTCTACCTTTTTCCCCCAATTTAATAAATAATCCAAAGCCTTGAAGGGAATTTAGAAGGCCGAGACGGGCTGCTATTTTCTTAGAAAAGTCTTTTGCACGAGTCCAACTTTCAACCTTTTTTTTAAATTAATTAATATCTTAATCTTAAATTTACTTCAATAGTTTCTTGAGTTCCATCAGGTAAATAAAATTTGTGATAAATTTGTGTTTGTCTATATTGAATTGCTTCTAACTCGACTTGATGAGGAGGAGAAAGGCGACAATATTGTTGTTCTGTTGTTATTAATTCGTTACATTGACTTAAATTAAAAATTAATTTTTGGAAAATTATTTAAATTAATTAATTGTATCGAGAATATTATTTGGAGAGAATATTCATCCCCTTACTTTAATGCTTTTTGTAATCTCATAGCACAATCAGCAGCCATCGGCACTAAACGAGTTCTCAAAAAATGTTCAACTTCCCGACACAAAAACTTAAAAAAATATTTTTAAAAAATTAAATTAATATCAGAAAAAAACTCTAGATGGAGGGAAAAGTCCAATACAAAGCCAAATTAATTCCCAACCACGTTCTTCACTTAAAGGATTTGGATTGTCTGTTAATTGTTTAATTAATTGACAATAAATTTCATCACGAAGAATTTCCTTTAAAAAATATTTTTTTCAATTAAATTATTTTCAAAATTTACATATTTAAGTGCTGGAGTAAATATATAATCTGTATATTCTAAATAAAATTGTTGGGGATGAGAAACATAATCTCCCATATATTTGAGAATAAAAGAGTAGGAAATTAGTGACTTTAAATTAATTAAATTATTTAAATATTTTTATTTTCAATTACTTCTCTAGCAATTGCTTCATTTTTTTGTTCAGCAATTCTTTTAAGTAAAGGAGCTCGTAATGGCTCGAAAGAATGTCTCCAAAGTTCAGGTTCTGGACTTCCTCCTCCATTATAGGCACCAAAAACGTCTTTTAATTTTTTTAAATAATTTCTAAACTAAAAATAATTACCAGAAGGCCTATTTCCGTCTTCTGGTAATCGAAAATTTGTAGAAGAAAATCGTTCCAATGTGTGAGGTTGGGGAAATGGTCCACAAATTCTGAGAGGGAAATATAAAAATATTTTTTTGTTTAAAAATTACAGAGGCATTCCAAAAGGGTCTACAGCAGCTGTGTAAAATGTTGGGTATTCAAATAAATCATTATTTTGTTTAGATTCTGTTGTATTTATTATTTCTTGTTCTATTATTTTTTTAGATGAGAGAAGGTTCTTTAAAAAAATTAAAATTAAATTTAAAAAATCTTCAATTTAAAAAACATTTAATTTTTCTTTTGCAGGTTTTTCTGTGCAAGCCAAAATATTTATTGAATGAAGGGGAACTCTTCCACACATTTTCGAACGAGTATTTTCAACATTATCAATTAAATAATTTTCTTCGTCATTTTTTCCTTCTTCATTATTTAAATATTTATTTAGAGGGGAAGACAAAATTAATAAATCCCCTTTAGAAAGGCTTAAAACTGCTAAAATTCAAAGGAATTTTGAATTAAAAAATAATTATTAAAACAATTTTCTGAAGACTGCATTTTGTGTTGGACAGTACAATGATTGTAATCTTTTAATGCTACAGCATAAATTGAATTTTGATGAAGACCTAAAAATAAATTAAGAGAATTTTTTGAAAATATTGGAAGACTAAGACGCAGGATCTCTCATTTAAGATCCTGCGTCTTAGACTTAATTAAAAATATTTACTTTTTAAAATATGTAACAATAAATGTGACAATTCTCTAGCTAAAGGTGATTGAAAAGTATACCGATCACCATTTAATAAACTAATAAATATAGCATCAGCCCCTTCATGTTTTGATCTTTAAAATATTTCTTAAATTAATTATTCTCGATTAAAAAAAAACACCTTCCATAACCAATATTTGCCAATTCAATAAATTCAATTTCAAATAAAATTTGTTGTTTATTTTGATTTTGTATATCACAACAACGGGCATCTAAAAGGGATATTCCACGTGAATTTACAGCCATAGTAAGTTGATTTACGGGGAGAGGAGGGCCAGAAAATTTGTAAACTTCGAAGAATCTTTAAACAAAAAATAATTTTATAATCTAGATTAGGTAAATATTTAGTACCTAGAAAAGTTTAATGGCCAATTCTTGGCTGCAAATTTAAGAACATCACATTTTATTTGTTTAACACTTGGAGGTAAATTCTCACCATTATTAAGGATTTTCTTAATTTTTTTATTTTTTAAATTTAATTATTTATTTACTTTTCTAAAAGCATGTAAAATTAATTGAATCCATTTTTGACATTCTTCTTCTTCCTCATTTATTTCATCTTTTCTGTTTTCATTAACATCTTCATTTTGTTTTAAAATATTTAAAGGTAAATATTCACTTAAATTGTCCTCTAATTCAGAAATATCTATTTCCGTAGATTTTCCGTTTATTGAAACAAAATATTGTTGGGCAGCTAATAGAGCTAAATCTTCTTCCTTAAAAATATTTTTTTGTTAAATAATATTAGGTAGGGGTTTGGAGGTACAGAAATAAATAGAAGAATCAAGGATTTTTTATTAGATGATGTTAATAGGTTATTAAATTCCTAATCGAAGAATTGAGGATTTCTATGTTCGAATATCCAAAAAAATTTTAGAATTGACAACACTTACATAGATAATATTAATCTCTTATTTATTAAAAAATTACTTTATTGCATTGATATTCTCCATAATGTAAACCTTTAATAATTTGTCTATAAGAAAGGTCAACAAATAATTCATCAGAATTACTTAAAATATTATCATAATTTAAAAAAATAAATTTTCTCTTACTCTTCCAAAGGTAAAAATAATTCTTTACGTAAATACAATTTCCAATCAAAATCATTTTGTTCTTCAATTAATGCTAAAGCATCCATCTTAAAAATAAAAGTATTTTTAGTTTATTTAAAATAAAAATAATTAACCAAACGTTCCCCTCCAACAACCAACGAACGAATATTTTGTCCAGTCGAGAGAAATAGTCCAAACCCAAAAGATTCATTTAAATTTATTTTTTCAGTTAAAAATTCAAAAACATCGGCAATTGTTGTTTGTGAATGCTTTTTAAAAATTTAATTTATTTTAAATAAAAGTTTAAATAATTCAAACAATTGGAATATCAACAATTTCTTCATTAGGCAAATTAATTTGTACAAACAACCCAGAATTATTTAGATTGTCAATTGAACAAATAAAAGCAAATTCTGCCTTAAAAATTATTTTTATTTTGAAATTAAAATTAAAAAAATTTTTCTTATTAAATTTTTATCTCAAAAATCTTCTCGATCACTCTAATTAATAATAATTATTTAATATTTCCACCAACTTTTAAACAAGGTTCTCTTCTAGCTCCACATTTAATTGTTCTACTCATTTGTTTAGCAATATAACGTTGCCAAAAAATATTTGGAGCATTCGAATTAACAAAATTGCGTAAATAAGGAAGTAGTCGATTTGTTGGGGAAAAGGCCTAAAAACTTATTTTATTTAAAAAAATATTTTTAAAAATTAACAGAAGAACAAAGTGCCATTAAAATCCATCCTCTCCGAGCAGAAATAGGTGAAGGATTACAATTTATTTGTTTACATATTTGGCTATATATTTCATCTCTAATTATTTTTTAAATTTAATTTTAAATTTATTTCCAATTAATTTAATTTACCTTAATTCATTTCTAAAAATCCCCACACTAACAATAAATTTAGCTTTATCAAAAGCTGTCCAATTAAATTCTCCAAGCAAAATATTTTTAGCTATTTTTATCGACTTTTTTAAAATATAACCATTTTCTTGGTAAGTTTGGTAATTCTTTTTTTTATTAAAAAATTAATTTAAAATTAATTTTTTAATTAATTACCAAAATATTAGCTTTAATATAATTAATTTCATCATCAGAAAAATCCTGACAATATAGAGCTTTTAATTTGGCCGTAATTGGCAAAGAACAATTTTTATTATTTTTTGAATTTCTGCTGTCAAATGCAGCATAATCTGTTACTTAGAAATATTTTTTAAGTTATTTATTATAATTAAAAACCATCAGAATCTCCAATAAATTGTAATAATCTACGCCAAATTGACAATGAAACTAATTCGTCTAAATGTTTTTTATGTGAAAGTAAAGGACGTTCTAATAATGTTCGTGTATGTTTTGGTGTGCATTTTGTCTATAAAAATATTTTTTATTAAATTATTTTCTAATAATTATAAGTAATACAAAATTAAAAATTGTAAAAAGATTCTAATAAGTAAATTTTGATTAGTGTATTTATAAATTTATTTAATTAAAATTTTATCTTGAATTTAATCTAAGTCCAATTAGAAAGTAATTAATCTAAGTAATTAATCCAATTAATCTAAGTCCAAGCTTTCTTTAATTTCTTTAAACCTTTAATTATCTCCTCTACTTTTCCTTACTATAATTTCAATTAAAAAATAATTTAAAAGGATTTAAATAAAAGTAAGACAAGAGATAGTATAAAGTTTGGCCCTTAATTATTTGTGCGATTTTTGGCCCCAAGGGTTACTCAAATAAAATCAGATTTTAATTTTTAATTTAAAAATACTATGTTAATAAATTTATTAAATTAAAAAAAACTTGTTGAAAATTAGCCAAAGCATATTTATTCCATTTAAAAGCATCATTATTACTATTAGTAATTCTTTTAATATTTTTATTGTTTAATTCTTTTTCCATAAAATTTTTTTCATTTGAATATTTTAATATTTTTAATGATCCAAAATTCTTTTCTTTAATAATATTATTTAACTAAAAATATTTCAAAAAAATTATTTTTATTTTTTAAAAACTTCATTTTCGTGTAATTCCAATGCTGGGGGTTCTCCTTCATCTTCCATTTGACAATCTAATCTAGCCATCATTGCACAATGACGTTCAGCTCGTGTAACTAAACATTGAAGTTGATAACGAATTAAAACAGCTCGGCAATTTGCCTTTAAATGAAAAAATAAATTTTAGTAAAAAATTAATTAATTAATTGCCTGAAAATGAGCAATTAAAGATTTTAGCCATTGATAACGAATTACAAGTTGATGGGAACGAATTGTTGCTTGTAAACGAGTAACCCCTCTAATTATCTTAAAATAATAGGAACTTTCATTTAAATTTAAAAAAATTTCAAACAATTTTAAATTTTTTCCTTTCAACAAGCCCCCTCCAATGTTTTTGAAATATTAAAGTTGCCCAACGTAATCTTGCATATTGCTGTCTTTTTGCCCATCCAAGCAAACATTTTTGGACTAAAGCAGCACAACAATGAAGACGACGAGAACGTAACTTTAACAAAAAGATTTTTTTAGATTTTTTAAAGAGGAGGTTCTAACCATTTCCAAAAATTGATGTTGTTCTGATTTTAAAAATGCTTTATTCTTTCCAAATTGTACAAATTCAGTACAGGAATCCCCAAAAATTGTTCGACAAATAAATCCTGTTGTGTGGGCACAATCACAATAATTTGGTGGAGCTAATTAAATATGTAAATAATTTAATTAAAAATATTAACGAATTCCAGGCATTAAAGGCCTATATCTTCGCACAAAATAAGCATATTCCATGTGAATAGGGAAACTGGCACGACACATAGCTACAGTGGAAAGCATATCGAATTGACGCATTTGACGTAAAACAGTTTCGGTTTCAAATAACTTTTCTTTTTGGGCATCATTTGTTTTTAGACAACGAACAAAAAATGCTTCTGGACAGCTTTCTAGACGCCGCATAAGGTCATTCATTGACTAATAATTTTAAATTTAATTATAGTTTTAAAAATTTATTAAATATTTACTCTTCTAACAATTGTGCATTGAGTATTTTGTTTAATTCTTCTAATTTTAAATTCATTATTTCCATTCTCATTTAATTCTTCTTCACTCAATTCATTACTTATTTCATCCTCCCCCTCATTATTTTCTTCTTTATTTTGAAATATTTTTTGTAAAAATTTTAATTCGCTTTCATTTATTAATTTTGAAAGTTCTGAGGGAAAATAATCTTTATTCTTTAAAATCATTCCTTCCACCTTAAAATTAAAGATTTTTTATGTTTTTTATAAAAGATTGAATAAGTTCACAACTTAGTTCTCTCTATTTTTCTTAATTTTTATTTCTGATAATTTAGTTTTAAAATCCCTTTTTCGACAATTTTTATTTTAAATTCTTAAATTCTTCAATGGATTATTAACACAGTCCTTATAATTTATTCCTTATTCACCTTATATTGTACTAATCCAGTATAGTGTCTAATTGCAAATTGATTAAGTAAAGATGATTTAGGTTTTTGGTAGAGACTTTCATTATTTGAATGTGATGGGTGGAGTTTTGAAAGTAAATTTGTATCAGAGGCCTAAATAATTTTAAGAAAAATAATTTTTTAAATTACTTTTTAAAACTTACTTCGGGGGCAATACTTATATCGTCAATAACACTCATTACACTTAATGGTTGAACAGCAAGCATTTCAAGTACTTGAAGATTATCAAGGTATGGAAGGGCTGCACATCTCTCTTCCCATTCAGGAAGGCACTAACAATAAAGAAATTTAATTTTAGGGGACAAAAAAAAAGTTTAAGAAATCCCTTCTTCTATGCAAAAAAGAAGATCGGTTTTGTAGATTATCATTAATTTAACAATTAATTCAGAAAAAAATACAGGTTAATAAAGATGATAAATGTATAACTTTATATTTTTTGTTAAGAAGGTTTAATATAATTTATTTAAATTAAATTACTTGTGCTGCATATTCTGCTTGTTCTAAAGTAAATATTCTTCTAATAAAAAATTGTTGTAAACATTCAGCACCATAATTAATACATAATTGTTCTAAATATATTTAAATATTTATTTGTTTTTTAAATATAAATTACCAAAATTATTTCCATTTTTCAATTTATTTTCCAAACTTTGAAAATCTGCCAATCCAACAGTTACTTTAAAAAGCATTTTTCTTTTTTTTCGTTAAAATTTAAATAAATTTACCAAATTTTTGTTGTTGACCATTTCTCCAATTAATTATTTTATTTTCTTCATTTAATTCTAAATTAATTTTATTTATTATAAAATTAACAATATTTGAATATATTTCTACACAAAGAGTGTCTCGACGATCTACTGCCTTTTAATTTAAATTAATTATTTAAATATTTTTAATTAAAAATTTATTTTATTTCACGTTTAAGCTTAGAGACAAAGGTAAAGGAAAGTTAAAATTATTATTTAAAGGTTATGTATTAAGAAATTGATTTGAGTTTAGAGATCGGTATTTTCAAAAATCCTGGATCTGGATTTAGATTAGTAACCTGAACAGGATTCTTAATCTGGATCCAGGAAAAATTCAGACTGGATCTAGATCCAAACCTATCTCTATTTGAGTTAATTAATGAGAGAATTATTCATAAAAACTGGATAAGCTCTATAATTTTGGACAGAACTTATCTTTTCTTAACCCCAAATTTTTAATTTAATTTACCTAATTAAAAAATTTTAAAAGTACCTCATCAATAGTTAATTTACGAAAATTTAATTCTTTTTCAGATTTTAAATCACACAAACTTTTAATTGTTAACGAAGAAATTAATAAATTTTTTTCTATCTAGAAAATATTTTTTTAAAAAAATATTTATAACACTAATTATTTTACTTTTAAAAGTTTACATATTCTTTGAATATTTAAACGATCATTTAATTCTAAATTTTCTTTTCCATCATAATTTTTAACTTTAAAAGAAAATAATTTTATTTCATTATTCCGCCTCTACAAACCATTATAACGTAAATTCCCCAAATGCAAAATCGCTGCCAAAAGTCTCCAAATATTTTCAATTTCTTTTTCATTAAAATTTAAAATTTTAAATGCTCCAACAACTTTAGATAATAATTCAAATGTTGGACGTGTTCTTTCACCTCCAAACATCCAAGAAGTCGTTTCTCCATTAATAAAATTTTCACGAGAATTTCGACGATACTTTGAAATTTATTAATTTAAATTATTTAAAGAGGGACAATGAAAGGATAATTTATATAAAATGTCTCTTTAAGATTTCGGAATTTTAATTTTTAATTTACTTGTGCTAAAAGCCTGTAACTAGATATCCTTCCATTTGTCAATTCAAAATCAAGTTTTTGTTGAGGACTCAATCCAGCAAGAAGGCAATAAAAAATATGAAAATTTCTTTAAAAAATAATTATTTTTTTAAGAATTTATTTGTAAGAATATTTTTTACGATTCTCTTGATTGTTCAACAAAAGCTTCCACAACTCTATATTTTTCAAGAAAAAATAATTCTATTTTTGCTGATGAAATTACAATCTTTTAATTAATTTTAAATAAATTAATTAAATAAAATAAACTTTAGATAATTCATTATTTAATTTATAATTTAATTCAAAATATTTTCCATGTCTAGAAGCATTTAAATTACGAGAAGTTTTAGCATTTGCAAAGGCTAAATAATAATTTAAATAAAAATTATTATTTTTTCAAAACCTTCAATAATTATTTGAGCAGAATTTAATTTTAATTCAAAATTTTGATTAGCAAAATCAGCACTAAGGAAATTTAAAAGTTGTTTAAATAATTCTGATTTTCCTGACTATTTTTATAAAAAAATTAATTTTAAATTTAATTATTAAATATACAGCAGTTTCTCCACTAAAAACCACACAACAATTATTTTTCCCTTTTTTAACAAAACGTAAAATTTCAGCTCCAAATGCGTAAATATGGGGTAATAATTCGTGAGGAGGTCTTTGACGATATGAACGAATTAATTCTTTTCTTTGATTTTCATCTTCTGTATATAATTGAATATCTTCTGATAAATTATTGTTTAATGAAACCAAAATACGATTTCCAATAAATGTCTGAAATATAATGTTTTTTTGTAAATACCGTAAAACTTTTATTAACTACACTGGGTAATTATTGCTTCGACCTTCCGCTGGAGAGATTAATTAATCGAGGGGGTAATTATACGAGGTTTAAAATCTGAACGTGCTTTAGGGTATTTGATGGGGATAATTATTGTTTCAATCTATCGCTGGATGGGGTAATTAATGGAAGTGGGATAATTATTTGAGGAGGGCAATTAATACAGGTTTTACGGTATTTAAAATAATAATTTACATGATAAATATTTTGTCTGTGACGAATTTGAAAATTTCTGAGAAGAGCAGCCTCGTGTAATTCAACCATTTGAATTAAATCAGAAACACCTTGTATAGATGTTGGATGCATTGGACGAATAGCCCATCTTTGGAATTCTGTGGCCCCTAATTCTAATTTCTTTTAATAAAAATATTTTTTATTTAAATAAATCCACTCAATTTTTAATTTACATTGCTTTGATCATCAAGTAAAATAATATGTTCTCCTCCTTGTTGGTCAGTCCAAACAGAAAGTACTCTAGCAGCAATTGCTGGAAACTCCGAAGATTTTAAAATAAATTGTCGAGAGTCATTCCTTCCCAAAGCCGTTGGATCTAGCCAAACAAAATCCCCCTTTAAATAATTTTTTTAATTAAAAATAAATTAAAAATACTTTATTAATATGTGGTAATTTAATCATTTAATTTTTATATTTAAATTTCTAAATTATTCTATAAATATAAAAATTAAAATAATAAAACAAGGAATAATGAAAATAAGTATGTATATGGGTGGGTGTATTTATGATTACTATTTTTAAGTTGTTTTATTTATTTTTATTAATGTTTGAGAGATTTTCCTCCGAATAATTTATTCTAAATTTAATGGAGAAAAAAGTCAAAATTATAAAAAGAAAAACTTATTTGGTCTGAATGGTCTCTCTAATTGAATGACTCTTCTTGGGGGTATCGAGAGATAGAATGGTGGCCATGATATTAGAATATTCTACTACTTATACATACATATTACTTTAAAATAATTAAATTTCCCTTTCTTATTATTTCTAAAAAAATAAATACTATTAAGAAATACATATAATAAACCTATTTTTTGTTTTTTTAATATTAACCAATTAAATAGATTTATATATTCGATAATATAATAATTAAAATGTGGCAGATTTAAATAGAAGATGTTGATCACTCTTTTTTTATATTCCCGATTCAATTCAAAACAAGAAGTACTAAATATACTAAACCCCCCGTTTATTTTCGTAGATAAAATACTGACAACAACAACTAGTTAATTTTAACAAAAATTGGGTCATTTAGAAATTTGGTAATTTATAATTAATATTTTTATTTTTATTTTTTAATGTTCTAAAACTTTAATGGATTTTTTAAAATTAATTTTTAAATAATATTAAATCAATAAAAATTTTTATCAAAGTGAAATTTAAAAATATAATGCTAATACTAAATATTTAAATAAAATAATGTTAATATTTAAAATGCTTGAATAAAATCTGTGATGGGAGGAGTCATTTATATGTATGTCTAATTCTCATAGAATAGGGTTGGTGGATCCTTTAAACTCTTCAAATATGTATAAGGGTCCAATATTTGAACCGAAAAGTCCCAGATAAATATGCTTCAATCTTACTCTAATACTTTAAGGAATAAAAACATACAAAAATAATTACAGGGTGAGGCAAATTAGGAGCACTTTTTCTTTTTGCCATAAGTTTCCTTAAAGTCAATGAAAATTGAGTTATTTTTTTATTTTAAGTATAACACTTTTAAAAAATTGTTGATTTCAAGAATTTTTGATATCAATAGTTAATTTGATTATTTTTTCTTAAAGTTTGTACAAATTTTTTTGTATAAATTCAGCTGATTTAAAGGCTGTATGTCAAATACACATAGGCAAAGTATGTATATATCATTCAAGTATGTCTTCTAGCTGATTTGAATAACGGATTTGAATAACGTCAAAACAAGACGATTTTCTGTTTATAAGCTGGGATATGGAATTTTGGATGTTAGGTTAAAATATAAATTCTCAATTCTCATCGACTTTGAAGAATGTGCTCCTACCGACCCTGTGCAATACATACATATGTACATATTTTTAAAAAATACTCAAATTAAAAAAAACTTTTTTCAACCGAATCATTTACTTCCATTAAATGGTAATTTTCCTTTAGCTTTTTCCGACATTTCTGAAGCTTTTGAATTTCCAATGTTTGTATAATTATTTGGATCTATTTAGTTTATAAAAAATTAATTTAAAAAAACAAAATTAGCAATTTGAATTTCATTTAAAAGATTTAAAACAGTCATTAACGGGATATTTTATTTTTAGTTTATCCTAAAGATAATTTACTTAACTTTCCATTAAGATGAAATTAATTTAAAAATTCTATTATAATTTTCCCTTAGCTTTTCCTGGCATTTTTTGATGACGATAATTATTAAAAATTAAATATTTATATGCTACCTTCATTTGGTGTAATTAAATTTGTTTGTGAAGGTCCAACACCTGAATGATTTATAGGATTATAAGGATTAAAGAAATAAGGATGGGGAATTTGTTGATTTGGAATATTTTGAAATTGTTGGGTTAAATTTGTCAAATATTGTTGATGTTGACGATTTCCTTCAAAATTAACCCCTTGATGGAATGATTGGGGTACTTGATGATAATTTAATTGATTGAATTGAAGTTGGGAATGAAAGTTGTTACTTATATTTTCCATGTTTTGATTTGAAGATTGGGCTACAAATTATTTTGAAAGAGTATAATAATTTAAAATTTTTTTTAGTTTTTTCGAGGTTAATCGAAATTACTTATTTATAAATAATTATTTTGATAATTAAAAGCTAAAATTGAAATGTATTCAAATTTTTCATGTCTTTAATTTAAGCAATCCAAAATCTCTTTTAGCTTGTTTAAATTTATTTTTTATTTTTTCTGTAACAATTATATTATTTTTTAAATTTATTTATTTAAAATATTTTTAAATTTAAATTTAAAAATCTTTTTTATTAACCAAAATTGTTATTATTTGAAGAATTTAAATGAGTTAAACTTCTATGTTGATTGTTAAATTCTGTTATGATTTGATGATAAATACCTCCTTCACCCCCTCTAATAGGATTATATATTGAATAAGGTAATAATTCTTTTGGAAATGGAACTTTATTTTTTTCTAAAAAATTAATTAATTTTAAATTATTTATTTACAAATATATTTACTGTAAAGTTTTCTAAAAATTTCCAAATCTTTATCAGATTTTTGTTGTTTTTCAGAGGTTTGTCCAATTTCTTTAAATCCTGTATCTAAAAATATTTATTTTTAAAATAATATTTAAAATTAAAAATTTACATTTTTGAACCATTTTTTTAAACATAGATTCATCAACAGAAATCAATTGTGTTTTGCTTTTGTTCTTCTTTGTTTTCTCTAGATTTTTGTTATTTGTTAAAAAAATAATTATTAGAGAGGAAATTTGAATTTTAATATTTTTATGGGTTATTTTATTTAAACACAAAATCTTTTATTTTTCAAAGTCTTGGATGGGAAGGTATATTGAGGGATTTGAGGATTCTATATAAGAGAAACCTCGATAATTCTTAAAACTTTTAACAAAAATATTTTTAATCTAAAATTTATGTATTTTTTTAAATTTATTTTTAACCTTTTTCAATTGCAATTCCCTTCCCTTTTAATCCAGACTTTCCTTCATCTATATTTTTATCTTTATTTGTTTTTACTAATTTAACTTTTCCAACAAAAAACAAAAATAAAAGAAAAATAAATAAAAAATTGAAAAATAAAAAGTATTTTTTCATCCTTAATTTTACTTTTAAATTTAACTTTTAAGAATAAATAAAAATTATTTTTTAATTATTAAAATGAAAAGGTAATTAAATATACACAGTGGACATAATTTTTAAGTAAATATTTAATATAATTTTGCACTCCATAATTTTAAATTTAGAGAAGGAAATACATATGTCTGGGAAAAATAAAAATTATTACATAATCTACAGTCTGATTAAGAAATTTAAAGTTTAAAAGCACTTTACATAATACATAAGTCAAAAAATCAAAATGGTAAAAATAAATTTCTTTATCTTAAGACATGCGTCCCATGAGCTTTTATGTATCCCAAAAGTAGTACAAACGCTTAAACATAATGCTTGTTTGAATTAAAATGAATAATTCTGATTTCAAGTTTATTTAAATAAATAAAATTTAATATTTAAAATTCTGTGTATTTTTATTCAAGTTTTTATAAAATACATTCAAGTTTATTTATTTCCGAATTTTATTTCAGAATTTTCAAATAAACTTGGAAATAAACTTTAATCATAATTTCAAGTTTATTTATTTTTAATTTTGAAATATGTACATATATTCTGAATAATTTCTAACCCTATACAGCAGGGATGTGCCAGTTTCGCCTTTCGCCTTTTTCTTGACTTTCGTCTTTCGCCGTTCGCTTTCTAAACTGACTTACGCATTTTCACTTTTCGCCTTTCACTTTTTAAAATCTGTTTCGGCACACCCCTGCTATACATTTACAAGGTTAAACATTTTAACTAATTTAATAAGGAAAATTGTCGGCAATACTATTTTTAATTAAAAAATTTGGAAAATGACAATGTCCCATTCTATTATCAATTATTTCATAAACTACACAACTGCACTTTTCACTCAAATTTTTTACAGAATTTTTTTAAAAATTTAAAATGCATCAGTAATTAGTTTTTTAAATTTATTAAGTAGATGTGAAGATAATTAAAATCAGGTTTTGAATTTAATCAACAGAATATAGGCTCTATATTCAAATTAAAAAATTTTTTTACATAAATTAGACCAAGTAAAATAATTAAGTAGAGCCAATTAATGCATCTTTAATTGAAATTAATAATTATTCAAATTTCATAAATTCTGAAATAAAGTTTATTTAAAAAAAGTCTATTTGTTCTGGTTTTATTAAAGTTTATTTAATTCTGATTTTATTTTATTAAACCAGCTTTGAAGAATAAATAATACTGTAATTGTTTTAGCGCATAGAACTTAAACGTCTGTTTTAATTTTCCCCATGAAACTTGGTCAGTTGAGTATAGGCGCTTGAGAGGCAGACAGCTTTGATCGGTTATAACTTTTTTATTCTTGATCCAATCCAATCGTTTCTTATATCGTCCGAAAGCTCTTGAAAAAAGACTACCTTTTTTCAACAGGATGGATCAGGTTAATCACTGCTAAGAAGGTTATGAGTCGAAAATTATGAAAAACACCGAATCATTGCACTTATCGAGCTGTAACTTTTGGTATAATTTCGGAATACTAAACAGACTCCGATTAGGATAAATTATATGTCATTCGACTCAGCTCGGGGAGTTGAGTCGAATGACATCAAAATATCGATTGGGACGTAACTATGGGTCGAGTTATAGGTCCTGAAAAATTGAAAAACCATAGGGGGGAGTAAGCTCGATTTTGGGGTGAAAAATTCGAATATGCAAATAATAGCTCATTCGAAAGAGCTCCTCGAGCTGAGTCGAATGACACCAAAATCAGCAAAATCCGACTTGATTTGACAAAGTTATGCTCGTTTGTTTTAGCTCCTTACCTTTGTTCTCCGTGGATGTTCTTGCTGCTTCGGAGGAAGCCGGGCATGCCCATCACAGCGATAATTGGAATAGGATTAACTTACGAGCCCAGACCCAGAGCCCGTAGACTCCCCGCGAGGCGCGTGCCGCAAAACTCCGCGCGAAGCGCGGAGTTTTGCACAAGCGCCTCGCCGACGCCCTATAGGTTTACGTTGTTTGTTTTTTCTGTCATAACTTTGAACAAGCTTGACCAATCACGGCGATTTTGGTGTCATTCGACTCAGCTTGAAGAGCTCTTTCAAATGAGCTATTAATTGCATATTCGAATTTTTCACCCCAAAAAATTGCCTGGTCCCCCCTATGGTTTTTGACCATTTCGAGCCCTGTATCTCGGTCCATAGTTACGTCCCAATCGATTTTTTGATGTCATTCGACTCAGCTCGCCGAGCTGAGTCGAATGACATATAATTTGTCCTAATCGGAGTCTGTTTAGTATTCCGAAATTATTCCGTAACTTTTTAATGAGTATTCAGACTTGATTCATCTAGTTGGAGAAAAGATATAGCTTATATCGAGGGCTTTCGAATTATATAAAGAGGACTCGGATTAGATCAAACATAAAAAAGTTATGGTCGATTAAAGTTGACAGGTACTCTAGTGACGGACTCAACTGGCCGTTCTGTGATTCAATGAAATTTTGAAATACATACTATAAAAGGGAAACGATGGACAGAAAGATAAAGATTGTTGATGTATGAAAACTTTTGAGTTTAGGGTTGTCGGTTTCCGTAAAATTTTCCGACCGATCGAAACCTATCAGAAATTCCTACTCGGAACCTGACAATCTTAAAAAATTTTTTTAGTTTTTAAAGGTCGGAATGATTAAACACTCAAAAAACAAGAAGGTTGCCGTTATGAATTTAAAGATGTCCAAGTTTGCTGCTCAAAAACGAAATAATTTCAATTTCCAAAGTGCATTGTTAAAATCTTTTGGTATGCGAAAATTGTCTGATCAAGGAATTTTTAAAAAGGCAAAATTTTAAAATTAAATTTTGGTATAATTTTGTTAACTTTTAGGTGCTTTTGAATTTGAAAGGTTTTGATAAACTGATGGAATTTGGAAAAAATGTTTTGTGGAATAATAAAATTGATAAAGCTTTTCGAGCAAAAAAGGTTAAAAATTCTATTTATTGTTAGTCTAATAATACCTTTTTACTTACAAATCTTTAGGGATTCATTTATTTGGAGATTTTTTGTCAGTTTAAAAATGATTTGAACTCGAGAATTTACAAATTAAATTTCAAAATGAAAATACCAGAAAAAGGAAATATTAACATTATAAAAGCATTGAAAAGTTACGACTATTTTCATGATTTTGAACTAGAGTCAAGTCTTTTGGATGCTAATTTTTGTGAAAATTTTAAGTCTTCAAATGTTTACAAGTTTGTATTTTTATTTTTTAATTATATAGGGGGGTTGTTTGTTTAGTTCAGGCGGAATTTAAGTCTTCACAAAATAAGTAATTTAAGTTAACTCCCTCTCTATAATTCATAAGAAAATAGCTTCGCCCATCTCTGACCCTCACCCCTCATTCCTGTTCCCTGACCTTAACTTTGTTCTTTTGACTCAGATTTCGTTGATTTTAGAGCTATTCGACTCATTACCAGATCAAAGATCTCTTTCGAATGATATATAATTTCCCATAAAGAGAGGGTAAAATGGGTGGGGGGGTCTAAACAGACTATTACCAATTATCTTTCAAACATTTTCTTTATTATTTTTATTTTTAAGACATTGGCAGAAAGCACCCCCGAGGGTCCCTTTAATTAGGCGCACTCTCGGAGGGGTTGCTAAGAAGTTATTGAAGCTTTGTCTCTTCTTTTTGTTTTTGCAACCAGTTGCAGCTGGGGAGGAGATAATTCTTGCTGTGGTTGGGCCTCTAATTGCCTTATTAGTCGTGCTGGTTATATTTTTGGTATATTGCTTTGACACTAAAACAAGAAATTTAATGAATATTTTACCAAAAGCAAGAGTTGACGAAGAAATGAAGATTGAAAATCACGAGGTATTTTATTTTTTATAATGTTTATATTGTAAAAGTGTTTATGTTTGGGTATATATAAGATCTAATTT